ACAAGAGAGCCCTTCCTGCTCTATATCTGCACTGTTATGGTTAAAACCAATACCAAACCTACTGCTATTTGGTCACTTATGATCATTCATTAATATTCATTAATCCTGCATCTCAACTTTTTTCTGAAATATGACTTATCTCTAGCCTGTATTTCATTGTTCTTTGTGGTTTTGTTTGGTTTAAGGATGTTTCAGATTGGCTATTCCTCCTGACAATAGTAGTACTTTCAGACCACTTTTATTTTATTGGTTATCATTAGTGTATGGCCTCTGGTCAACTAAGTCTTCACGGATAACTTTTAGTTAAAATCTTAATGCAGACTTCAAGATATTATTCATAGTCATAAATATTGGCACTATCTACTAGTTCTAGTAGAACTACTGATAAAACTAATGGAAACATATATATATTAGGAAAAAGAACAAAAAGTGCCAGGTCGTAGGATAAACATTGTGTGTGATCCCAATATAGCACAGTGTTTTACAAACAGGAAACTAAACCTCTGTGAGGCTGAACCCCTTTCCCATACTTGATCTCAGTTGTATTCCCAAATTGATCATGCTTTTTCATAACCATTCTTTTAAGGAATTTAATGTGCCAGCAAGATCCAGGATAGATATGTATGGACTATGATGGGTGAGGGGTTCTCTGGTGGCTTAGTTTAAGGAATTAAACTGCCAACCAAAAGTATGCGGTTCAAATCCACCAAGTTGTCCACGGGGGAAACGTGGGACAGGCTCCTCGCATGTGATTTACTGTTCTGAATTCCTGCTGTAGGGTCAACTCTGAGTCAGTTCTGACTTGATAGTATTCAGCAGTACCAACAAAAAAGGTATGAGTTACCACTTTTGAAAACCTGCTGGGGGGGGGAAAAAAAAGAAAACCTGCTAGGGGTCAGCTATGAGTAATTTCCAGCTGGACAACACACAACAATCTGAGTTACATAGTGATGGAAACGAATTTGTTAACTTACAGGAGGGCAGTCATTGAGAGGGTGGGTACTTTTAAACTATTGCATGACTGCACTTTTAAGAAACCTGCTGTATAAAGTACCACTCATAGCAGCCCTATGAATAACAGATCTGAACCCTGTCCTTTCATCTGCAGTCCTCATCACTGCTTAAGAAATACATATAGACTAAGCAAATCCCTCAAGACTAAATTAGATTAGTGGTTTCCAAGGTTAGCAAAAAGGAGGAATGAGAGATAGCCATAAATATACTGTTTGAATAGGGGAATTTGTTTTTTAAAAGTCACTTTTGAAGCAGCCCTCCCTGCCACTACACTAGGTCTCCCTCATTTGAATGTTTTGTGACACTCCAATTTCTCCATCATAGATAGCACTTGTTAGTTGTAATCAGTACTTATGTAATTTGCTTTTTTTTTTCTCCTGTAGGTTGCTTCGTGAGGGTAAGACTATGCTGATTCATGCTGTACCACGGGGAAGTCTACAAGATTCCACGAGGTCAAAACTGTTCTGATACCGTTACTGCTTTCCCCTCCTTCATTCTTAAGTGTTTTTAGGCTTCCTAATATGTGATGTTGCCATCTCTGATGTGAAGTCCATTCACACAGAACTGCCCCTACATGGTAGCTGTGCTCTAATCTTTAAAGTCTTTGACTTCAGAGTCGCTGTTACAGTTTTGTACCCTCATGCGTCCGAGCCATTCCCATTCACGGCTGATCCTCCAGCAGGTTTTTGGAAGCTGTAGATTGCATGATAGGACAATGCCCATCTTCCTCCCCCAGAGCAGCTGGTAGAGTAAAACTATGTGCCTTTACATTCTTAGCATCCTTACTACACCACCATTACTCCCTTCAGAGCCACCAGTGATTGGGTTTTGAACTGTGACCAAAAGCTTTGTGCTGAGTAGTGCTGTATATATTTTTAAATTTACTGAGGTGGTAGAATTATGAAATATTGGTACATTTAGAGTAACTCAGCTTTCTGATTACCTATAATCTCTGCAATCTCATTGTTACACAGTTACCTGAAACACCATACAGATTTTATAGTGTATCATAATTCTGTGTTATCTTAATTTTATAGATGCCAGCATCTGATTATGTCTTAGTAATTGTGAATAGTTTTTTGGTGCTAGCTATGGTGTGGCACTACTTTGAAATAATTTGTTGTTTTTTTAAAAAAATATTTATTTTAATGTTTTTGTGTGTGTACCATCAAATCGGATCTGACTGGTACAGGAGATTACCCTTCCTTCTCCAGCAGAGCATCTGGTGGATTTGAACCACATACTTCTGGGATCGCAGTACAGCTTCTTGCCACTAAGCCACCAGAGCTCCCTGAAATCACTATTTTAAAAAAATATTTTAAATAGAGATGTGTCAAGATGTAAACATCATCCAAACCCATGTTTTTACAATACCTACAGTTGGTTTAAGAATCTGTCCTATTAATGATGTGTATAGTCATGCCTTACAAATAAACGAATCTACCATTGTGTGAACTTACTAGTTTTGTCTGTAGTCAGATCTGCTAATCATCAGAGTATTAACATGCTGCTGCACACTGACAACCGTGCTTAGAAACATTTTTTTCCCCAATTTATTACCATCATTTGTGGCAATATGTTAATCTTTTACCCAAAACACACCTATATTAATTTGACTAATGTTTAAAAAGCAGTTAGTTAGCAGTTTAGTACAAATCAAGCCTATTCTGAAGAACCAATGGTGATGAAGGCTAAGCTACATTGAAAGCAGTGGCAAAAAATAAGCCCTCAGGAATTAATGGAATACCATTTGAGGTGCTTCAAAAGACAGATGAAGCTCTGATCTTGCTTACTAGTTTGTACCAGGAAATTTGGAAGACATCCTTATTCTGATTCCCAAGAAAGGTGATATAACAGTATGGAAATTGACCAGTGTCATTAAGATCACATCCAAGTAAAATTCTGAATATTACCCAAAAATGGCTAGAATATCAACAGAGAACTGTCAGAAGTTCAAGCTGAATTAGAAAAGGGTATGGCACCATTGCTATGGTATCACTGATGTCAAATACTTGGCTGAAAGCTGAGCATACCAGGAGACTATTTGGAGTTAATAGGCTGTATAAAAGTGTTTGAATATGTGAACAACAAATTATGGCTAAAGGTGGGAATTCCAGAATGTTTAATTGTGCTCATGTGAAATCTGTATGCACCAAGGAGCCATTTTCTGAGAAGTGTGTGTGTACTTCACGACAGGACTGTCTCATTTCTCCATTCAATCTATCGTTGTTGTTGTTATGTGCCATCGAGTCGCTTGTGACTCATAGCGACCCTATGTACAAGAGCTCTGTACGCTCTTCTATCCTGTACCAACCTAGCCATCTCAAACGCACTTATTCCCGCCTCTCTAGTCACAGAATCGATCCTCCACTCTGCCAAACATGATGTCCCTCTCCAAGGACCAGTCCCTCCTTACAACATGCCCAAAATATGTCATACGAAGCTTCAGAATCCTTGACTCCAGGGAACATTCTGGCTTCACCCTCTCCAGGACAAACCTGTTTGTTCTCCTAGCAGTCCATGGTATAGTCAACACTCTTCTCCAGCACCACAGCTCAAAGGCATCAATTTTCTATCAACCCTAGTCACTGTCCAACTCTGATGCATAGCAATCTATAGTGCTGAGCAAATTATTTGAGAAGCTGGACTTGCTGGAGCGGAACGTGGCATCACCAACTTGAACTATGCAGATGGCACAACCTTGCTTGCTAAAAGGAGGACTTGAAAAGTCAAGAAATTAAAAGATGAATACTGCATTGGGGAATACTCCAAAGTGCTTAGGAGCAGTGATAACAGCTTAAAGAGTAAGGTGCACCTAATTAAAACTGGTCTTTTCAATCACTTGTTATGAATATGACAGCTTATCCATCAATACATTTTGAGTTGTGTTGGAGAAGAGTACTGAATATCCCAAGTACTGCCAAAAGAAAAAATGTCTTTGATAAGGTACAACCAAGGTGATTTCTTGATGGCATGGATAGTGAAACTTGTGTCATATTTTGGGCATGTTGTTAGGTGAGGGGCATCGTACCCGGAAGTATGTCAGATGATGAGGATGGCACAGGGTAGGACAGGATTCAGATATATTCACAGGACTGCTATGAATCATGGTCAATTTAAGGGCATACAACAATGCTTGAAAATTTCCATAAAACACAGTCAGCAGAGAGAGTAGCCATTTCAGGCCAGTAAATAGTTTTCCAGGGCCTACCATTTTAACAAAACTTGAAAGTCTCCATTTTGACCTGTCTAGTACTTTTGTCAGTTCCTGGAAAGAAATGTCTTTCTAACTTTGCTAACCCAAATGATGGGCACACAACTCCATCCCCAAGCAACACAGAGAAAGGACACGTACATGTGTACACACCACACACTCCATCCTCAAGTGTAACTGTTCTTTGCAACAGTAAAGCACATCAATTTCAAAAGCATTCAGTGTTGAGGTAATTTTAATTACCCACAAAACTTTCTCGGGAATGTATATAGGTTTGTAGCTAAATATGAATGACCAGCTAGGAGAAAACAACAAACTTCATACAACCCAAAAATGTTTCTCTAGCAAAAATATGTCTATTCCTTAGTCCCTTTTAATAAACCAATATAAACATCGTGAGATTTTCGTTTGGTTGTGAAAATCAAGATACCTTCATTGAAAGTAAAAGAAAATGTCTTTTAATTGGGTGTTGGACCCATACCGTATCAATCTATCTGCTGTAATATTTTTTAAAAAAAGAACTATTTAGAGCCCAGTATCTGCAATTTCCTTGGTGAATCTTCACATGTATTTTTAGTTCTATATTAATCTGAGTAGCGATGTATATTTTAATTTTTAAAAGGCAGAGGATAAGCTAGGTGAAGAGCTGTAGACCAGATTAAGTTCAATGCAAACTACACTCCTGTTAATACTATTATTTTCTTATAAAGTTCTTTGTGCTGATATTTCCAGTGTTGAGAAAGGTACTGCTATTTAGCCATCTTCATTGTTATCACCAAGGGTTTCCTTTGTCCTCATCCTGTTTTGAAGAATGAACAAAAGCCTGAGGGGTACGATTCAGAAGATAAACTGCAGCATGCAGGCCCCCTATGTTCACCCAGACAGTATGCACTTTCCGCCACACGTGTCTCATTTCCGATAATGCCTGTATGCACACAAAAAGCATAGAAGTAAGTAATCAGGCTAATGGTCTACTTAAGCCAGTTAGGAAACACTAAGGCAAGAAAAAACCACCCCACCTAGACCAACATTACAGGTTCTACCGAAAACTATCCTAAAGTTGTCACTTGCTGAGCGTTAGAGCTAATGTCCAACAGACCTTGGTAAAGCACTTCTTGTCCTGAGTTAGGAGCACAGCACGGCCAGTCCCAGGCCTACAGACACGGCTCATCTCCCGCAGACAAGCTGGGTAAAGGTTCCAGTTTCTCTTTTTGGAGCCCATTCTAGAAAAGAGATTTCAAAAGTCAAGCACTTACAAGTTATTAAAAATTTATTCTCACTGTCTTAATTATCTCATGCACCTTAATGTGTGAAAACAATTAGATTTTAGAAAGCCAGAGTTTTAAGAAATCAGTTATGAAACTTTGTTTATTCTATGTAAGAAAAAGTGGCAACTATAATAGCGTTATGGTAAATATAAATACTAGTTTTAAAGTTACATATAGTTATAAGGTTTTATAGTAAATATAAACTATATAAAGATGTATTCAGAAAAATTTTTTTCTTGAGAACAGAATCAGGAATTTTTTGGACCAGTGTTCTAGAGAGTGAATTACTAGGTGTATAATTTACTAATGAACCTGTAAAAAGAATAAAAATGTAGTCCGTTCTACATTATCAAGAGAGAGAATGAACAAAAATGAGTAAATACATCAAACTTTCTTCACTCTTAAGTGAAAACAACTCTACAATTGATCCCTTACCTCTTCCCAAATGGCATGTCTGTTATAATAATATCCACAGAACCAGTTCTTAGTGGCAGATTGCAGACATCCCACTGGACAGCATCTATGGGCAGGCCCCAAGTTGGTTTGCTGTGGGCAAAGAGCAAAGTGCTTCAACACATACAAAAACAGGACAAAAAGCTTTCTAAAGTGAGGCTGCTGTATAGTTAAGGAGTCACACTGCCAAGCAAAGACAGAGGTGGGAGAGATAGGAAGGGGCAGCTAGACATCAATTCCAGTGTAACAACAGCAGCAAGGAAAGTACCAAATGCTAAAAGAATCAGACAGTATCTACAATTAAGGCAACTTCCTAGAAAAAAAAACAACTGGCTGAACTGACAGAATGTTAACAATGACTAAATGGTTAAGACTTGTCTTAATACATGTTGACATATTTCATGTAAAACTTAAAATGTAGATAGTAGAAGAAATTACAACACAAAGGGAAAGGTAAATGATATAGCTAATGATGTAAAAAATTACTGAGAAAAATAAGACCTGACCACTAAGAGAAAAAGATAAAATGCCACATGAAAGTTTGGAAAACCTAGAAAATAAATATATAAAAGGTAAATATAGACACTTATTTTCTAAGGTTAAAATATATATGAACAGAAATGTAAATGAAAATTGTTTTTTAATTGTTATGTATTAAAAAAAATAAATGACTCTGGGAAATTGAGACCAGAGAAGTAATTTTATGGAAATTATAGACCAAGCAGAATTTTAGGCAGTTCTTACCCAAAGAACTGGGAATAAAGCTGGCATGACTTTGTCCTCAAGTTTGGAGTAGTAGGCTAATGCTTAACACAATGCACATGTCAGAAGGCAGAAAAGAACACATTTTCCCAGAGGCTAACAGATCCTCATCCCAAGAATGCCATAGGACTATGACTCAAAAACCGGGCTGTTTTGCTTAGAGATGACAAGGTTTACTTCCAGAAGGAATGAAGGGAGGAGGTTTTAGGTGGTGGAAGTGGTTGTGGTTAGGTGCTGTCATGTCGAGTACGACCCTTAGTGACCCTATACACAACAGATCTATAAACCCTGTCCTATCTTACACCATCTTCACACTTCCTGACACACTACAGCCCAATATAGTAGTCAGCGTGTTCCCACTTGGTTGAAGGTCTCTTTCTTGGCTGACCCTCCACCATTCCCAGCACCATGTCCCTCTCCAAGGAAGAGCGAGGCCCTCCTAGTAACATGCTTGAAGTAGGTGCAGCAAAACCAGGCTTTGGTAGAACTTCAGATATTCAATGACAACATGAGATATCAACTTTCTGCTGTTTTCTTATGGACTTAAGGAGGAAAAATAATCTTGAGAAGGCAGACTCAGTTCACTAAAAGACACTACAACTACAAGGTCTTGAGTGCTAAGCCAGAATGGACAATCTTCAAAAGTTAGTAGAGGTATTTAAGTGGGCCAGAAGGCTGGTCATAATATCGTGAAAGATCTCTTTCAACATTGAGATCTTTCAATTGCCAAGTAATTGCAGAAAGGCTAGAGAAAGGAGTACTTAGTACATAATGAAGTAATTAGAAAATAAGACTGTGTAAAAATTGAAAAATTATTTATGAAACTAAAATGAATAGCTACTTCCCCCCCCCCCCCAGTATTAGAGGATATGAATAAGGGACAGAAAAAGAAAAATAAAATGATTATAAAATTATTTTCAGAGGACTTATGGTGGGACTGTGGACTAGTCAGAATGGGAAATTTGTCGTTCTCCTGTTGTTCAGTTGATGTTATGTACCATGGAGTTGGAACTGACCCTCCAGTGGGGTTTTAAGGGCAGTAAATTTCATGGGAGGAGACTATCCATCGTTCTCCTATGGAGCAGCTAGTGGATTTGAACTGCATGCCTTCGTGTTGGCAGCACAACTCCTTACCACTAAGCCATCAGTTCTCCTGTAGAGACACCAAAAAATAAGAAAAAAGTGTCATGGAAAATAATCCTGGGAAACAGAAATTTGGGGGAAATTAATGAGAGAACAATCAGACACAGATGGAGAGAAAAAACAAAAGGTTAGCTTAAAGAGACAGATGGAGTAGTTCCAGGAGGTTGATCTGAACAGCGTTCCAGAGGCTCAGGACCCAACAACAGGACCCATCAGCATGTAATCTTCACCAGTTAAGAGAAAGAATATCAAATTATTAAAAAACCAAACCCATCAAAATGCTATCTGCAAGAGAGCAATATACATTCTTCTCCAGTACACACGGAACATTCTCAAGAATAGACTAATATGCTAGGGCCAAAAGCATAGCTCATTAAAGTAAAAAATAATTCAGAGCATCTTCTCGGACCTCATGTTATAAATAAAAAAAGACAATAAAGGGCACCAGAATTTGGCTATAGTCAGAAAGCTGGACAATGACTAGGGGTGCCTTTAAGCTGTGTTGCTGAAGAAGAGTACAGAAAATACCATGGACAGCCAGGAGCACAAGGAGGTTCACCCTAGAGAGGGTGAAACCAGGCTGCTCCTTGGAAGCTCCTGACATACTTCGGACATGTTGCAAGGAGGGACCAGTCCTTGGTAGAGGAATAGTGAAAAAGAGGAATACCCTCAATAAGATGGATTGATTCCGTGACTGGAGTGTTGGGAGTAGGTGTGTAAGAGTGATTGGCACAGGATAGAGCAGGGTTTAGGGCTGCTGTACATAGGGTCTCTATGAGTCACAGGCAACTCAAAAGCACATAACAACAACAAAATGGATATTAAGGCATGAGGCCTGAAGTAGTTGGTTTATACACGTTCACAAATGTAGCTATTAGTAAAATTATTGTTAAGGTAAAAACAACCCACATATATTAATGAAATACAATGTAAATGACAGACTGTATAAAACATAGTGTACAGGTATGAAACAATGTATATGAATGATAAAAAATTTTAAAAAAAGAATGAAGGGGATGGGGTGGGGAAATGTGCACTTGGAAACTAAGGAAAACCCTGTTTGATTACTACTGGGTAATAAAAGAAATAAAAAGTGAAATGTTTTCTTGAAACAAATGAGAATGAAAACAATATACCAAAAGCTGTGGGAAACAGCAAAAGCAATACCCTGGTACATTTATACCAATAATCACTGGTAGGATTAAAATACTTTGACCCAAATCTCCAAATAAAAAAAAGACAGCAACTAACCCCTGCAACCTCTAGAAGAGTGAGCAGATAATACACAAAAGAAAAGCAACAGAAAATTATTAGTAAGATCAGGAATTGGTTCTTTTAAAGGATTAGTAAAACTGTTTCTTCTCTGAAGAAAACACCAAATGGCAAATGATGCAAATGCAGCAGAAGGCCCTGGGATGGGATTCTTGGGCAGTTTCCATGGGGGCTTTTGTGGGGGAGGGGCCATGGCCATGAATGGGGCTATGAGATAGGCCACTGAGCTCCTGGAGGACAAGGAGTGGCTCCCTGTCACCAAGCTGGGCTGTCTGGTCAAAGAGATGATCAAGCCCTTGGAAATCACTGACTTCTTCCTGGGGATGTCCCTCAAGAATAAAGTCTTGAAAATTATGCTTGTGCAGAAGCTGACACTATTGCCAGTGGACCAATTTTAAGGTATTTGTAGCCACTGGTGACTATAATGTTGGCTTGGACAGTAAGTGCTCCAAGGAGGGAACTACTGCCATCCATGGGGCTATTATAGCCAAGATCTCCACTGTCCTTGTGCAGGGTGGCTACTGGAGGAACCAGATTGGCAAGCCTCACACTGTTCCTGGAAAACTGGGCACTGGAGTTGTGCTGGTGTGCCTTATCCTTGCACCCCCAGACACTGGAATCATCCCAGCCCCCCATGCCCAAAACTCTGCCACTGATGGCTAGAATTGATGACTGCTACACCTCAGCCAGGAGCTGCATGGCTACCCTGGACAACTTCACCAAGGCTGCCTTTGATGCCATCTTAAAAGACTTACAGCTACTTGACCTCAGGCCTCGAGAAAGAGACTCTGTACACCAAGTTCCCTTCACCAAGGAGTTCTCAGACTATTTTGTAAAGACCCACACCAGAGTCTCCGTGGAGAGGACTCAAAGTCCAGCTATGGCCACCACATACTGGATTTATATAACAGAAATAAAGTGAATTAAGTTTAAAAAAAATCTGTAAAACTGACAAGCCAGTAGAGAGAAATTAACAACATTACAACAGAATCAAATTAAAAAGGACAGTAATGGAATACAATGAAAAGCATGTGAGATGAAGGTTCACCATCCTTGCCTATAATGTGGCACCCTGGTAGTACTTTCTCCAAGACATATTTGTTTGTGAAAGAGGAAGATCCTTAACAAGATGGACTTGACACAGTGACTGTAACAACTGGCTCAATATGTCGGAGATGATGAGGATGGCACAGGACAGGGCAGGGTACAGATCTGCTGTTCACAGGATTGCTATGGATCATGACCGACTCGACAGCACCTAACAACAATGAAGAGCTATACTCCAATATATTAGATAATGTAGAGGAAACAGAAAAATTCTTTTGAAACTTACATCTTAACCAAATTAACACAAAATGCATAAACAGACCCCTTCACAAAATATGACACTGAACAAATTAAAAAAAACAAACAAAAGCTTCTCAACAACAGAAAAGTCCCAGCTCATAATGCTTCACTATTGAATTCTACCATCATGTTGTAAGAATTCATGATAATCAAGTGGAATTCATATGTGATATGAAAGCATGGTTCAACATTGAGAAACAGTAAATGAAACCCACCAAACAAGTAAAACAAAGGACAAGAACTGTAAAATCAAAGAAATCTGCTGGCCATCACCTACTTCGTGCATTTTTAAGAGAATAAACACCAGAAGACAAGAACCACATGTTCATTTCAACTGACAAGAACCACACGTTCATCTCAACTGATGCAGAAAAGCCATTTGACATAATCTAACACCCCTTCCTAATTAAAACATTCAACAAACCATAAAGAATTTCCTCAACATAATTAAGAGCATATATACAAAACCAATAGCCAACATCACCCCAAAAGGAGAGAGATTAAAGCATTCCCCTTCCAAAGAGAGACTAGGCAAAGATGCTCACTATAGCCACTCTGATTCAACATTGTGTTGAAGTCCTAGAAAAATAAGGCAAGAAAAGGAAATAAGAGCATCCAAAATGTCAAAAAGGAAGTAAACTTATCTCCTTCAAATAACAATGTGAACAAGATATACATAACTGATGGGGGGGAGCTGAGGAAAGGTTTACAAACAATCAAGGAAGACAGGATTTGGGGAGTGCAAGCTGGGGGAAGAAGAGAGTAACAGATATATGGGCAGGGTGAAGGCAAAGGCAAGGTACAGTGAAGATTTGATGACATTCTGCAATAAATGGCATTGATCAACTGTAATTAATGTTATAAAACAAAATGTCTAGAAATGAATGAAAACAAACTAGTTTTAGTAAACTACTTAAAACTTAAAAGTCTCATATTTACTGAAATAAAAAAATAAATTTTTTTAAAAAGTCTCATAATATTTAATTTTAGGATAAAATGTCACAATTTGGGCCTCTTCAAAGTCAACATAAAAAGTGATTAACAGATTTTACAAAGTCTTTTAAATTAGATTTTTACCATTCCTGAATTTGGTTCTTGGTCAATAAAGAAGAGATGTTATTTACAGCTCTATTCACAGCCAACGGATTATTGTCACCACCAACATAATGACAGTTAGACCATTCAGTAGCCCCCTAAAAGAGGAAAAAATACCCTTAAAACAGAAGTGGCAAAATGCAAAAAATTACTAAAGGGAAAATAATTTTAGCCAATTCTCAATAAACAAGACATTCTGAAAATCCATTTAGAAAAGTTTCTAAAGTGGCAAAAAGAGGCTCAAGATGGCCTCTGTGTTTACTCTTCTTCATACTTCAAAAGCCAGTCCAAGAGTAATGGCCTCTCTGACATAAATCCACACTACCACGCTGTCTCTCATCTACACCCCTTGCTCCCCTCAAAGCATTTTGTACACCTCTGCCACTGCACTTACTCTATTTTAAATCTGTTTGATACTTATTTGCCTCCTAACTAATCTTGTAACTCCAAGAGGACACTGCATTAAATCTCTCACAGTATCTGACACACTTATTTAGCAATAGATTCTAACTACATAGAGTAGTTGGGAAAAATAAAACCCAAATCACAAAAAAATCAACCAAACTAATTTAAATCAAACAACCCATGCTCTTTTTAAGTTTGGCAAAGGTATTTATTCTGCGTTGTGGAACATTTGAGAAATACAAAATAAAATACAACTAACTTTGGATATAGGCTTTGGAATGATAGCTACCATATTCCTGAAAGATTTTTGCTATTTTAAGTTAAAAAATGTTGACAATTTTATCATTTAATGAAGTGATATTACACAATAAAACTTCCCATGTTTTAACATGTAAACTAATTTTCTAAGTTAAAAAACTTTCTAATGATTACAATATTCTTCCCTCTGCTTTGGCATGAATAACAAATGTGTCTTCCTTTGTAAATATTTAAGATACCTCTCATTCATAAATACAAAGATTCATTGTTTTCTCTTCTGCCCAGACAATGAATGAACAATGGCATACACCTATTTATAATCCTCCAGAAGTCCCTTCAGACAAAAAAAAAGTTTGTGAAGGAGAGGTTTTGGAGTGGAAATAAAAGAATTTATGAAGGTCTCTCAAGAAATTCTAGTTCTCTATTTTCTTTTTTTAAACATGTTAGATTTCGTGCCTTGAAGAGAGATTGGGTTTACATTATCTTCCAAATTTAAAGGAGAATAGACAAATTAGATCAAGTATTCTGTATTTTAGGGAGCAAATGTGTGTATGTGTGTTGTTGTTATGTGCCATCGAGTTGCCTGCCAACTCAACTCATAGCAACCCCTATGCATAATAGCTCTGAACTCTGCCCTATCCCGGGCTAATCTCACTGTTTCCAATATACCTACTCCCATTATCCTAATAACAGTGTCAGTCCATCTCATCCAAGGTCTTCCACTCCTGTGCTGTCCCTCCACCCTTCCAAGCATGATGTTCTTCTCCAATGACTGGTTCCTCCTGGCCACATACCCAAAGCCTGTGAAACAGCGCTTAAAATTCTTCCTCCAAGGAACAGCTTGATTTCACCCTAAGATAGACCTGCTTGTTCTCTTGATGGTCCATGGTATGTTCAATACTCTTCTATAGCACACCTCAAAGGCACTGATTCTTCTGTGATCCTTAGTTATTGTTAAGCTCTCTGATGCACAGCAGGTAACTGCGAAGACCATGGCTTGCATCAGGCCCACCTTGGTCTCCAGACTGATATCATTGCTCTTTAGAGAGGTCCCTGACAGCAGATTCCCCTAATGCTGAGGTAGAGAAGATGAACAGAAGACTTCAAAGGGCAGCTCAAGAAGACAAGTATGATAATGAAATGTGCAAGGAGCTGGTGTTAAAATGTCTAAAAGGAAGAATTGAAGATCAAAATTCAAGCATTGAGTTGCAACAATGAACAATTCTATGGGCAGTTTTGAATGATGTAGGAAATAACAAAAGATGATGAAATGAACACACAGAGTCAATGTACCAAAAAAGAACTGGTTCATACTGAATTGGTTCCAAAAGTAGCATACAATCAAGAACCAGTAGTTATTGAAAGAAAAAAAAAAATCCAAGTTGCACAAAAGGCACTGGCAACAAAAAGGGCCCAGGAATTGATGGAATACCAACTGAAGAGTCTCATAAAATAGATGGAAGCCTGGACTTTGTCATTGGTCTCTGCCAACAAACACCTGGTCAACTGACTAGAAGAGATACATTTTATTTTCCATTTCCCAAAAAGATGATTCAAAAGACCATGGAAATTATCTAACAATATTATTAATGTCAAATGCAAGTAAAATCTTGATGACTATTTAAAAATGACTTAAGCAATACTATCAACAGAGACCTCCCAGAAATTAAAACTGCATTCAGAAGAGGCTGCAGACTGAGGAATATTACTGCTGAAGCCAGACAGAAGTTAGATGAAAGCTGAGAATACCAGAAAAGAGGTTTGTTTTCTGGACTGTGCCTTTACACATTTGACTTTATATATCATAACAAATTATGGACAATACTGAGAATAGGAATCCCAGAACTCTTAACTGTGCTTATGAGAAACGTATACATAGACTAAGAAGCATATGCAGGCAGCTGTTCAAACAGAACATGGGGATACTGCATGGTTTAAAATCAGGAAAGGTGTGCATCATTGTCTCCTTCTCCATACCCATGTAATCATGTATGCTGAGCAAATCACTGGACTATATGAAGAAGAATGTGGCATTAGGATTGGAGGAGGATATTCAGCTGACACAGCCTTGCTTGCAGAAAATGAAGACTTGAAACACTTAACTGCAGATCAAAGACTATAGCATTCAATATAGGTTACATCTCAACAAGAAGATAACAAGTCTTCACCACTGGACCAATAGAAAGATTGTGACAGATGGAGAAGATATTTGAAGTTGGCAATGATTTCATTTTGCATGGACCTATATCAGCATGTATGGATGCAGCAGTTAAGAAATCAAGATGGACTATAATGGGAAAATCTGTTGTCAAGGACCTTCCTAAACTGTAAAGAGCAATGATGTCAGCATAAAGACTAAGTTGTACCTGGTTCAAGTCATGGTATTTTCAAATGTTTCCCATGCATCTGAAAGTTGGACAATTATTAAGGAAGAATGAAGAATTAATGCTTCTGAACTGTGTTGTTGAAGAACTCAATGGACTATTAAAAGAACAAACACGTCTGTCCTGGAGGAATTGCAACCAAAGTGCTCCTGATAGTTAAGGATGGTGAAACGTCACCTCACTTCCTTCGTGTGTATTTTCAGAAGGAGCCAGTCCTTGGAGATACATTATACACAGAAAAGTCGAAGGTCACCAAAAGAGAGGAAGACCCTCAATGAGTTGAACTGACACAATGACTACCATAGCAGATATGACAGAAATCGTGGGAAAGGTGCAGGGTAGGGCAAAGTTCATATCTGCTGTACACAGGGTTGCCATGAGTTACAGTTGACTCGATGGCGCCTAACAACTACTGGATATGGAAGAACTTAGTTCATTTTACAAATTTAAGTCCATTTTAATGGGAATTCCTGATTCCAAATAGTTTACAGTAGTATAGATATAATCTTCAGGGGGATTCACTGTTACATGCCCTCTATTTCAAAAGCACTGTTCCAATACTTCAAAAGCACTGTTCCAATTCCTAGTATGCTGTAGGCAGTTTTCATGAATCCTCTCCTTATCATAGTGATTGTGAAAATGAGTCAGATGTTCCCCAAAAGCTACATCTGTATGTAGTTTTCTCCTTTTGCAATTATACTTATCCCTTCTAAGCATCTATGTGGATTAAGAAACATGACCTTACTTTACAGAGAAAAGCTGGCTTTCCTCCAGTTTATGCTTTTATCTTCAATAACCTACTCTTTCAAGTCTTCCAATTTGCTCTGTTACATAAAAGGAAATCAGTAGTTTCTAATTTTTAGTCTTCTCTGTTATTTAATACTCAGATATTATTAACAATCTTCTGGATTTTTTACATTTAGCTGTTTGTAGTAAGTGGCTATACCCTTTATGTTCTAGTTATAGTGTGACTATTATAATTCTTTCAAAACTCTTGGGTTCACTGATTCAAACTTAGTAACTTTATTATGCATAATCTGAACATTAGGCTTAAATAGGATCAATGTACCAACTGCTTACCAAAAAGCTAAAGAACAGTTATTACCTCTATTGGTATCGCCCCCGTTCCACACATTGGATCAACTATTATATCAGATGGTTGAGGAGAACAAAGCCTAGAAAGAGAAGAAAATATCCTATATGAAGAGACATGATAAAAAACCAAGAGAGGTCTACCTGCAAACACACTGGAGAAGTATTCTAGTATTGGGAAGGAAAAAAAAGGATCATAATGTATAATTAAAAGTACCTTAAAAAAATTTTTTTTATACTGATTTATTCACAAAGTTCGAATACATTGTTTTTCACCTTGGACCGTTCCCATTTCCTTCATCTCCCCTATTAAATGGTGCAACCCTATGATTAACCTCCCCCCATGCCCATCCACACCCCTCTGCTTCCATCCCCCCTCCTTAGATCCTCATTCTACAATGAGAGTTTTTATACAGTATTTGTCCTTACGGGACTGAGTTATTTCACGCAGCATAATGCTCTCCATTGATTATCATCTGAAATCTCATATCCTAGATGGGATTTTTACATTGTATTCTTCTACATCTTTAAAAAGGTGCTTTTTGTCTTTATGGAAAAAAATGGTTGTTATGGTAAAATGCTGCACTTACATGAAAAAGCACTAATCTGTCTCAAGTTAAACATGTATCAATAAAAGTTACTAGCAATTAAGACATTCAGGAATCCCTAATGAACTTAATTTTAAAGATAAAAACTTTGATATAAAAGTAATTGATATACTCTGAGCTCCTGGATTGCCAGCCATGGATGTGTATTATCTCATTTACAGAAATATCCCAGTTAACAACTATTCCTTTTCTCACAGTTCCGGAGTTTAGAAGTCCAATTTCAGGGTGCTGGCTATAGGGAAATGCCTTCTCTTTGCTTGCTCTGGAGAAAGGTCCCCGTCTCCTTAGGCTTCTGCTCCTGGGAAATCTCCATGAGGTTTAGCATCTCTCTCCTATTTCAAGAGATACACCCTATACTAGTCTTTCACGAACATATTCCAAATGCGATTATAAACACAGATAGAAGATTTAAGATTTACAATATATTTTGAGGACATACAATTCAGTCCATAACACTGAAGTAATTATTTTTCTCCTAATTTTACAGACAAGGAAGTAATTATTAAGTACAGTCAGGATTAGAGGATTTGGCTTAAATATTACAGTAAAAGTGTGGCAGGCATGGGTCAACATCATTTGACCTCCACTAGCTTCACAAAGTTGATTCCAATGAAATCAGGCATGACCCTCATAATCCACACTTTCCTCTACCAATTCCAGTAATAAACACCCCTCACAGCTAGGTTCAAGAATTCATTTCATTAGCCATACTGAACTCATAAGCAACACTTATGATTGTGAGGTTTATAAAAAAGCAATAGATTACCATTCAGGTTCTGGAACATGAAATAATAGTTTCCTTTAGGACTGTCTCTTCTCATCTGTACAGGCAGGCCTCTTTCCATGACCTTCATAGCCTTGGACCTGCCCTGCTGAGCAAGTATTACAAAGCTGTCAGCAGCATTAATTATGTGCCCCCCTACTTAGCCAGTGAGCCTAGACCTGAGGGTACCTGGCTCTTGTACTGACTTGGAGGACCTAGCTTCCCTTCCAACAAAAGGCACCAATTTCACATGTGCTCATGCTCTGGTTCTGAGCCAGGAGCCCACAGCCTGACTCACATCAGTCTCTCATCCTTTGTCACCTCTGCCATTTGGGTTGTCATGTCTCCTCTTATGCTCTTAATCCATAGTTCACACAGAAATCTCAGGTTCAAAGGAAGCATATCTTCTGTTTTGCGGGTAATGAGATTCCTGGTTTTAGCCCAATCTAAGTCTGATAGGATGATAAAAATTGAACAGACATGTGGAAAGTGATAGAACAATGGCTTATAAAAAGCAGACTTAGCCTCTCTGTGAAGTATCAATTCCTCAACCAGTTCACTAATTTCCTTTTCTTCTCTTGTCCTAATTTGGATATGGTTGATGGGTCCAGGGATGAACAGGTGACCAAAACTATGTTAATTAGATCCTTTCTTCCAGCAAAACTGGAGGCACTTTTGACTGTCAGTTTGAAATCAGAAATAAATTTAGATAAAGAGCAGTTATGTGCATAGCTGTACAGAGATAAGAGCCTATCAATTCTCAGGGGGGGGCCCAAGTTTCTGGTTTCCAGGATCTCATACTATCTTGAGACACAATTTTAAAGTTTTGCCTTGTATTCTCCAAGATATCTCATTATCTTGCCACTAAATTGTCTTCCTGCTATGAATTAAACTGCATCCTCCAAAGGTCTGTGTTAACATACCTGAACCACAATTCTCAGAAGTACGGTAACTATATAATGATGTAATCACTCATTATGATCTGATTTGATCAATGAATTCTAAGAACAGGAGGGTAAAGTGGAACACCCTTCCTCAGGTCACAGTCGTCGTCACACACACATCACCTTTTTTCTTACAACAGAAAAAGAAAAGGGAGGCCTTAATACCACCAAGGGGGGAAAAAACCCCTGAACAAACATCCTTGAGTGCATCTTTTAATCTCAGGGTCTGTGCTAAGACCCTCACGGACCAAAGAGAAGACATTTCAACATACATGGAGCTCTACAAGGGACACTAGATACACAGTTGTTTAAAGAAGACAGCGACTATAGAGTTGAGAGGGAGAGTCTTCTTCTAGAACTGGCACCCTGAATTTAGACTTCTAACCACCTAAACTGAGAGAATGAAACCATGTGTGTTAAAGTCATCCACTGTGGTACTTGTTATTGCAGCACTAGATAACCAAGACACTTCCCCTTCAATCCCTACTTTTTTACGTTAATTAGGTTTCTAATACTTGGACATAAAGTAACTCTATCCCCCAGAGGTACATGGTTCAAATCCACCAGATGCTCCGTTGGAGAAGGAGGAACAATCTCCTCCTGTACCAGTCAGATCTAATTTGATGGTACACACACACACACACACACACACAATTTTTTTTAAAAAGTAACTCTATCTCTTACCATAATGTACAGCAATAAATACTAAGTGTTTATCAAATTAATGAAGATTTAGGAATTCCACCTTAACCAGATGGGCTCAGTATGCTATTACTGTTACCAAATTAGTAAATCCCTATTGCATTGAGCTGTGAATTCATGACAAGATTAAAAAAAAAAAGACACAAAGATCAGAAAAGAAGGAAATACCACTTTTTAACCACCAGTTGTTGTTAAGTGCTGTAGAGTTGAAGACGACTCATAGTGGCCCTATAAACAAAAGACCTGAACACTTGTATAATTTTCATTGTTTGTCCAAGTTCACAGTTTCCAGTGGCAAGCTATTTTGGAAGAGGATGCAACTCCCCTGCTTCCAAATTTAATCGGGGAGCTCCACCAAACACTGTCCACTATGGGTGACCATTTTCACATTTGACACATCAGTGTCACAGTGTTTAGCATCACAGCAACCACTCTCTCTCTTTAACCACCAGTATACCTATGTATTTTGTCTGTTTGTTTTAAATGCTAAATAATTATCGTTTAAATTCTTTATCATACTCATTTTACTGCAATCTTGAGGAAATCTGGAGGGAAAAAAACTATTCAAGCACTAGAAAAAGTTATCCAATAAAACAGAGAAGGACTATGTCTTCTTAAACTCTGAAAAGTAGAGAATTTCAGGATGACTTACTTCTGGGTTGCTATGTTCTTAACATTTAAAAAATAAAAGCTCTCTGGGTTCACGTACATGTTTTAAAATCTGTTATCTGCAAATATATTATGAAACAAAACAATCTTTTTAAAATTATCAACATAATATGCTACTGTAATATTTCTATAACAAGGCAGCCTTATTCAGGATACAACTGAAAGGTATTGTTCTCATTTTATAATGAAAAAAATGGAGGCAGTAACTCTCAGTGATGTTTTCAGAAACACAAGGAGTATTGAAGCCGAATGCCTACCTTTACATCACTTTATGTGCCATCAAGTTGCTTGCAACTCATAGCGACCCTATGTACAGCAGCTCTGAACCCTGTCCTGTCCTGTCCTGAGCCAGTCTCACTAATTCTGAAACAGCAAACCCCATTCCCAGTCACGGTATCAATCCAGCTCATCTGGGTCTCCCTCTCCTAGGCTGTTCCTCCACCCTTCTAAGCATGATGTCCTTCTCCAAGGACTGGTCTCTCCTGGCCACATGCCTAAAATATGTGAGGCAAAGCTTCAAAATCCTAGCCTCCAAGAAGAAACTTGGTTTCACCCTCTCCAAGACAGATCTATTTGTTTTCTTGGCAGCCCATGGAATATTAAAGACTCTTCTCCAGCACAACAATTTGAAGGCATCAATTCTTCTTCTGTCATCCTTATTCATTGTCCAGCTCTCTGATGCATTGCAAGTTAACTGCAAAGACCATGGCCTGGATTACGTGCACCTTAGTCTCTAGACTGACACTTGCTTTTCAGTACTCTGGAGAGGTCCCTGACAGCACTGTTGTTGTTGTTGTTATGTGCCGTCGAGTTGCCTGCGACTCATAGCGACCCTATGTACAACAGCCCTAAACTCCGCTCTGTCCTGTGCCAATTGCACTGTCTCTGACACTCCCATCCCAATTA